ACACAAACAAACAAACAAGGCAAGTAAGTCCACACACGATGACACTGACCCCATTGGCAGCTGCCATCTGCACAATGACCTCAATAGCTGTTCGATTAAAGAAGCGTCCATCTCCCCCGACCACGACTGTGGATCCCTGGCGGTCACGCAGGTCAATTGAGGAGAAGATACTCTGGATGAAGTTGTGCAAGTAGTTCCTCCTGGACTGAAATACAAACGTTCTTTTTCTCAGACCACTGGTCCCAGGCCTCTGGTCAGGGTAGGGGGCCGTAGGGACAGTCAACACTTGCACAGGACTGTTGTCCATTGTTTTAAAATGAAGATCCAACCTAATGCTGTGGCGTAAAGAGCAGGGGAAACTCTTGCTTGGAGGGAAATCCCCTGCCAGTTGACATGGGGGGACCAGCACACAGGGGCAAAATAGGAGGGTAAAAGCCTGACTCCTCCTATTATTTCACTAGAAGCACAGGGTTACTGTGGTGCTTTCTGCAGCCCAAAATAACCTTTCAGACTAATGCATGTGCAGAGGCAGTAACTGAAGAAGCTCCTTCACACATGTGCAGGAGGATCACTGTCAAGGCTGCAGGCCGAGGCACAAAGCTGTGTGTGTGTTTGGGTATGTCTGACTGGAAGCTACTGGACTGTTATGGGAGCAATTTGTCCATCTGTTAAGGGCTGCAGCTGTGCAGGGAGAAATGATATGCAAAAAGAAGGTTGACATCTCTCATCAAAGATGCACTCAACACATTTTATGAACAGTGTTGGTCTCGTCTTCACCATTGACCCTTCTCTCTAAGCTGAGTGTGAAAACAGAGAGTGAGACCACTGATTAGAGAGTCATTAGAAGCACATACTGACACTGATATGTGGTTTTAGGAAACATAATTTATCAAATATCAAATATCAAAACTATACAAGCGGCACCACCAAAAGAGTGGAAAGTATCTGTGAGAGATGGAACAACACTGCTCTCTAGAGTTTATTCAGGGAATCTTGCAACACAGTACAAAAGAGAGCGACCTCTCAGTGCAACATACAGAAAGTTTTTATGTAATAACATGAACATGCTCTGGTCATTCATTTACTAGAGTCTTTCTATAGGTCAAATCCTGCTGACAGAGAAAAACCATCCTGTGGCAGAGCTGCAGACAATTAACAACCCACAGTAACAAACTGGACTTTGTATCAGTCTTGGACAGTGTTTGTCTGANTTAGGAGCAGGTCCTCTCTATGGAGGCCGCAATTATTTTTAGGGTGAGGTAAAGGGTATTCAGATGCAGCATGACATGTCACCAATAGATGTCACTATATTCCACACATTGAACCTTTAAGTTCAGTACTTTTGGATAAACAACTGACAATTTTATCAACTATTTGCACTGACAGACTGTAACCAAAGCACAATATTTGATTTTGGTTGAAATGTATGTGGGACCCCAACTGTCACTTGCACTTGTTATATTGTAAGCAGGTCCATCAATAAAAACTTAGATATCTACTTTTTAATAATTTCTAAAAGACAAAGGGGATAAATCTGTTAGGTATTTCCCATAAATGAGACAATGAAAGAAAAGATCTGAGCTATCAGTGTTAATTCCCTCCCGACTCCTTGTATGTATCTTGTGACTCCCTCAATTGGCCCCACCTCCCCTATTGGAACCACTGCAGTACACTGTGAGTCAATGTGACCCAATATAAACCTGCTCATATATGGCTTTGTGTTCTAGTTCCTTCTCCATCCCCTTTGATGTCTGAGATATGAGTGTGAATGAAGATGTATTTATTCTTACCAATAAGCTAAATGTGATAAATTGTATTTTAGATTGCCCATGACATTTGGATTTTCCACGATATGATATTAGAGACTACATGCCCAGTGTCCTGGCAAATGGCAGTAACCCATACTTTTATCTTTTTAGGACAGAGGAGCACTCAGAATTGTAGAACTTGTCATATGTGACGGATTTTTATCTTTTAGGACTCGTCAGTTTCCTCCCTGCCCTTAGCCTTTAAAAACCACAGCTGCCCCACGAGAAGCACTGACAAGTCTGTCCTGCAGAGGCCACTGTTTGATGCTGGTTTGTTTTTAGTGTTATTTTTTGGTGCTGGATCAGAGAGAGACGCTTGACTCAGAGGCAGATGAGGTGGAGGATGGTGGAGCCACTGTGTGCACTGAGAGCTCCGTGAGCTTGAATGAGTAGGAAGCTTTTCGACCAGTCTTCCATTGAATTCCCCTCCTACGCTCTGAACGCCCCTTTGGTCTCATAGGAAAATATCTGCCATTTAGGTTGGTGTCTCCACAGGCATTGAACCACCATCCACCTGGAAGAAATGATACGTTGTACAGACAAGTATTCATTTATCCACTGATTTGCATAACAATTGAACTTCTGCTGTACCTGTGTAGTTGTGGGCGCAGTTGAAGTCCTGGTGGTTGTCATTGTCCCTGTCCTTGGTGGAAAACATCATGCCGGTTTGGTTGCCCATGGGGTCTGGCAAATCTCCAGACAGGTGCGTGAGGTGAATGGTGTAGTTGCTCTCTGGACCATCGAGGTTAAATTTGTATTTGATGAAGTATTTGCTCTGTTTCCAGTCTTCCAGCTGGATGTGAAGGATGGAGGCGCCCTGAGAGGCAAGAGCATGAATCTTCTTGAGACCCAGCCAAACCTCTCCTGTGAGAGAGACAGAAAGAGAGGGGGGGCAGCTCAGAGCTGGTTCAAAAAATACAGACGTGAAACACACAAACTTACATGCACAGGGACACACACATTTCTTGAATGGCACTCAGTAGCTTGCATCCCTTCGCCAAGGCCCAACAGTCCCCTTATGAAACCACATTAAAATTCTCCAGATCAAGATTTATATTTGGATCTGCACCAGATTTCACACACTCATTATTATCAGTCCTCTGCTGGTTTTTATCAAGATCCATTAATTATTTTCTGGGAAATCAACGATAAACACCCTCATAAAGAAAGAAAGAGAAAAAATATTCTGCCTCCTGATCCCGGTCTAGACCAAAATTCAACGGGTTCATCCCTGACCCATACTGCATCTTTCCACCAAGTTTCATGAAAATCTGTCCAGTTATCTTTGCGTTATCCTGCAAACTAACAGACTAGCAAACACAGATGAAAATGTGGAGGTACTTACAGGGGTCATAAAGTTACAAATCTCTTAATCATGAAACAAAATTAGATCAGCATGTGATGTTTAGTTGTGTGTCTCTCACCTTGAAAATCCCCAAACCCGTTTTCATACTTCTCCCAGGTTTGGTCAAAATTCACAAAACCATCCCTCCGTCGCTGGATGACTGTTAAGCCATAATCTAAATGAGAAAGTAAAACATGCCGCATGATATAAAAGCAGAGTGCTGTGGAAAAGTGTAATTTTGAATGAGACTTGGAATACCTCTGCTCATGTCACAAAAGGCTATGAAGGGCTCTGATCCCTTGGGTCTGATGGCGTAGACGCCACTGACTCGCTCCCCTCTGTTGAACAGCTGGCTGCAGTCTGATGACAGATCTAAATAAAAATGAGCACACAGGTAATGTCAAACCTAAAACTATCCTGGATATTATGTATAATATATCATACTACATAATATATAATTTAACTGCAAACTGGTGATCTGGTGCAGATAATGTGAACAGAGAGTTAACAGTCCTCGCCAGCAGCAGCATCTGCAGTAAATGTGTGCAGGATAATTGATAGGTCAGTCAGTACTGAGGCTGTGGATGCAGCAGGCAGTTCCCTGCTGTGACTTTATGAAACTGGATAAATGTGAAGCAGAAAATTGCTTGAAATTGACAGGACAAATTCTTATATCATGGGTATTGACACAGAAGTATTTAATACTTAAGTTAAAGTCCTTGCAGATACTGAATGCAGTGTAAAAAGAAACCAAGTCCAAACGTCACTTTCAACATTTCGTCATCTTTTATTATCCATCTTACTTATTGTGCCTGTGTAGTTTGAGTTCAGAAAAGGGCTGAGTGTTGGAGCTTCCGTGTTGAAGGTCTCAGGCATCCTCTCAATGGTCTCTTGGGCTAATGTGTCAACTGTTAGCTGGAAATAGAAATGTCGGAGAACGACTTTAGCCTGCAGATATAATCCCCATGACAGACCAGAGAAAAACTCTGGATGAAATAGCACTTCCAAACAAACTGTAGGTTGTTATTCCAGATTTTACTCCATTTTATTGATTAGAAATTTCAGCTCTTAAGACTTATGAATAAAAAGGTTTTTTCAACAGGTGCAATGGCATGATGGTATGATTCAAATATTTTGTTTTATAATGTATTATTATAATTATACGTTATTTCGCAACTCTCCTTGTAAACAGTTTCTTGCATCCAGAAAAACATCAACATTACAATTTCTTTAAAAATACCAAAGGTCATACTAAATTAATTAATAAAGTTATTAGAGCAAAAAGGCATTTACATGATTTTTTTTGTTTACCGGAAGTCATCACTGTGGTATAACTATCTGATTTTCTTCTTTATTTTTTAAAATATCATAAGAGAAAACTGAATCTGGATGAGAACACTTAAAAAGATTGTCCTCTCTGCTCTTTTCCACCCTTCTACTAATTTTCATACAGTCCCTAACATCTACCTTTTCCTCCAGATTCTTGATCTTGCCCCTCTGGTAGTTGATCTGGTCGCTCTGGTCCCTCACAGCCTTCAGCAGCTCAGTGATGCTCATTTCCTGACTGTGGATCACAGCCTGCGCAGGGGAAAAGGTATTAATGGATCTGTCAAACAAAGGTGTTGATATGTTGACATGTTGATAGTTAATAGTACTTTGTACATTGACACAGTCTTACAGACATAAAGTAAATGAGGAAAACAATGCAAAATAAAGTATAATTAATGTTAAAACTATTCTTATTGAGGAGATACTGCAATATCTGAGCTGAGCTGTAACTTAAAAATTTCGACTGTTCTATGATGTTGAGGGTTGTTGAGGATAGTGGATCTTTTTTTGTAATGGCTCCATGACTATGGAATAACCTTTAACTAGGAATCCTTCTTTTAAATCTCGTATAAAGACTAATTTTTATAATATGGCTTTAACCTAGATTTCTTATGTCTTTCTGTATATTCTTCTGTTTCCATGTTTCTGAAGCAATTTGTCAACTTGTTTTTGAAAAGTGCTATATAAATAAAGTTTAATTATTTATTATTATATGAAATAGATGATTGCTGGTCTAAAAAATATGTATTGATGGGTTTAACATGGCTTAAAATGTCACCTTGCATATTAAGAGTCAAGCTGCCTCGAGTCAGCCGCTCCATTGGCTGAGATGGCCACTTGTGCTGGTATTTCGTGTTTATGATGTCTTTGTGTGTGTAAGTCTAAGTCACTTCAGCCATTAACTATGTTTTTTCAACCTTAAAAAAAGCTTGTCTCCATCTTGGTAGTGTTGCTGTTGTAAATGATTCCACCTCAGCAAAAATTTACCAAATCGACAAAAAAACAAGCGCAGGTATCCACACAGGTCACTAACCCTGAGGCCGTTGATCTCTGCCACTTGCTCGTTGGTCACCAATCCGTGGGACAGACTGCTCAGCTTCTTCTCCAGGCCCTCCACTTTGTTCTGCAGTTGACTCTTCTCCTGCAGGATGTTCTCCACTTTGGAGTTGATCTGAAAGGACAGGCCTTTGATCTCCTCGTTGTTGGCCTTCAGCACCACAGCGGTCTTCTTCAGCTCTTCGCCCTCCTCCTTGATTTCGCTGGCGAGCACCGACAGTTGGTAAAAGGAGTGGTCGAAGATGTTGAGCTTCTGGAAGATGTCATTTATCTGTCCCTTCGTCCTCTGCACAAACTCCCGTAGGCTCTGGCCCAGCTGGAGGAGGCCGTTGGCTAGGAGACGCACATCATCCAGGGCAGCGAAGTGGGAGCGTGTCTCAGTCGGAGCCCGGGGCTGGACAACGGGAGGCTCCCCTTTGCTGCAGAGGGCAGGGACACAGGCTGCAGACAGGACAAGCACTACTGGAATTATCATTATTCTCATGTTGTTGTTGTTGATGCTTCACCAGCAGTGTGTCGATGATGTCAGGGGAACGTCTGTCAGCCTTCTCCCTCCTCTGTGACTGCACATCTTGGGTTTTATACGCACACTGTCTGCTATCAGGCTAATGATTAACCCCAACTGATCAATATCTGGACACAGGAGGTGGATTCTTCCTGCTGATTGGTCAATTAGATTAAATTCATATTCATCTTTATTCAAATATCAGTGCTTAGTTTTGACATTTTCATTAGGTAAATGTTTGCAGTGGACTTCTCCTGAATTTAATATGCTCAAACGCAATTAATAATGCAAAGAATTTAGCTTCATCCTCTCTTTCTCTGAGCCTGGACGGTATGACTGTGTTTTCACCTTATGACCATGGCTGCTCACTGTGACTGTTTATTTTTGAACAGGAAAGTGACCCAGTTTACATATAGGTTAAAAGAATGTGTGGTTTTGCAATGTTTTAATCCTTTTGTTTTGATCAATTGGTGAGTGAGTAGAGATGTTATTCAATTGTATAAGCCCATAATGTCACAAGCTGTGGATTGCATCCATTCTAAAACACCTGAGAATGCATATCAAGTGAGCACCCACATACAATGGGCATGTGTGTGCCATGTGGGGTGGAAAAATGCTACTGAACACAGTAATTGTCGTGGGTTCCTGCCCGTCCAGACTTAAACGCAATGGCAGAGTTTTAAAACTGGAACAGGCCAGGAGCTTTACCAAACTTCTGCATCTGTAAAGCTTCAGAGAAGGCGTATCTGTAGCAGAGTGGATGCTTTTTCAATCAAAAATTGACTAGTGTGGATGTATTCGTACTTAAAACAGGAACAACTGCTTTATTTGACAATAACCAGTTAGTAATCTGCAAAGATGGTTTACTCTTACTCCACACAATGAAAGAAACAAAACTTATATTTGTGTTGCACACTCCCTGCTGTTTTCAGTAGGAGTGAGAATATAACCTACTATCAGCATCATGTTGGGTGGTGACCCTGGATCTCATCTGTTAATTGTTAACTACACATATGAGAGCAGGAGTGTATGAGCCCAACAGTGTGTGCTCAGTAAACACAGACCACAACCCTGACTTCAGCCATGGAGGCCCTTTTTTCTGAGGGGAAAATGTATTGGTACACATGTACAACTAATGGAGCAACAGCCACTTCTAATGTATAGTGTTAAGGGGTCATGGAGAGTGCAAGTGTGTGTGAGCGTGATAAACAATGAAGGGGGAGCAGGCCAGTGACTGTTGACATGTATGAGATGGAATATTGAATTTGATTAACATATTAATCATTGTGGATTTCGCTTCATTAGATGTATGTAAATACACACATATACACAATGCAAATGAGAGCTACTGGATGAGATTCTGGTTCTAGTCATCTCAAATCACTGGGGATAGAGATCACTGTCACCTGCTGTGACCTTTTTCTTCATTAGCTCTGTCAATGCCATCCAGTCTCTCCTGTTCAGAGAGGAGGTCAGTGTCCTTCGTCTGGTCAATGCCCTGTGTTTTATGGCTTATCTCATCAAGAAGCAACAGTTAGTCTGCTTTCAAAGAGCAGTGTGTTTGCCCCATGTGCTGCAGGATGGTGCAGGCCTGAACTGTCTAAGTTTTTATGGTCGCTGCCACGTGCAGAATCTGCTGCTCTGAGTGACTTTCTGGACTGGAATATTACTTCCTGTTTTATTTTGAAAACAATTTTCCTTGGGGGTCTATTGTTGATTCCATTTCCTGTCCTAGTAGTGATTTCCAGCCCTGTCCCAATTAGTTAAGGTTGTTTCTCGCTTCCAACTCCCTTTGTGTATAATTGAGTTTCTCCTAACTCGTGTTGCCTTGTGTTACCTTGCATCACCCCCTGCACTAGTTTTGTTCTTGTTGCATTTTTTCTTGTTCCTTATGTAACCTCTGGAGTCTAGCGGTGTCTGCGTTGGAATTTATTTGATAGAGCGGGCTGGGCTATAAATGTCTTTATAGGTGGTCATTATTAATTCTGACAAACCAAGCGAAAAACTAATCCATCGGTGAATTTTGCATATGTGGATCCCCAAAACAAATTACACATCAGAAGTCACTTAATTCTCATGATGTTTTCACTAGTTCGTTTCATCTAAATTGTATAAATTGTAGTTTTCTTTACCCCAGAAAAGACCCTTTATATTCAACATCAAGGGAATCCTCTCTATGGACGCCGCCTTTTGAGTTTTTATGACAACTAAAGGCTATCACAGTTTCTTTTTCATGTTTGGAAGGAGAGGGTGAGGTGAGGGGTGTTCAGCTGCATCATGCAACTTCAACACTAGATATCACAAAATTCTACACACTGTACCTTTAAACATGACAGAGAAGCTGACATACAAAAACTCTTATAATGAGGGGTCCAACTAAAGTAGATGTAGTGGTACAAGACTTTACCAAACGTTCAATATTGACAATGGAGGATATATTCCAGTATTTAACTATGTACAATGATTTTCTGTAATTATAACAATAAATTGAAATAAAAAAAATACATGGCACATAATACTGCAGCATGATGCTAGAGATGAGGAAGCCATAAAACTCTATCCTAAACAGCTCCTTCCATGTACTTACATTATTATTACCATAGAGATAGTCATGTAAACGACTATTACATAACATAGATGGTTATACATGTTTAAAAAATGTATGCTGAAATACTCTCAATGGTTATTTGTGTCTTTCTCTCATTGATTAACATGACACAGATCAAAGAACTACACAATTCTTACTTTATGACCTCAAATGAAACCCAAGCTTGACTTAAGGCTTATGTGTCTTTAATTCTAAATAACGTCAGTGGTCATGGGTCTTTGGCCTTGGTTTTGATTCATAGGTCATTGATACATAACTACCCAGTTTCAGTCGGCCAATGCAGCCACAGCACAACCTGTAACTCCCCTGACCACAAGCCACAGTTACATAACGGACGTCAAATGGAGAGGACGTAGGCCATGACAAACCCTAGTGGACTTAACTACTTTAAACTTTTCCATTTTTTGTGGTTCTCTCTCACATGTTGTAGAAAATGGAAATTGACTAATTAGAATTAAATTATTAAATTATCATTAAGGCTTATTTCATCCATAAACACAACTTCACAAACATGATTTTTCTAAAAAGAAGACCTGCTGCTTAGTAATATTTAACTTTCCTCCAACTAAAATTTTCACTAGAAGGCAGTTTCTACAAGTAATAACTGCATTAAAATGAATACCCTGCAGCTTGCAGTCAGCCTCTTCCTTCATGCATTTCACTGTTTGGGCTAAAAACGTCTATTTGTATAAGTTAATAATTAAGCTATTTTTTTCAGCTAATATTTTAAATACGTTACAAAATGAATTTGTAGCCCACATCCTCCTCAAATATGATGCAACTCTAAATCTTTCTCTGAAATTGCCTTTGAGAACATTTTTGTGCTGTGCCGAATGTGGTCAGTCCGTCAGCAGTCATTTGGTCCAATAACGGCTTGGGTTTTTTCTCTCTCTCCCTTGAGTCAAACCACAATCCCTCTCGGAGTCAGTTGTCTGCTTGGGTAATGGAAAAGGAGTATTTCTTGCTAATTCTTGCTAATTCCTTTTCCATCCCTGGCGGGGCACAACACGGTGGTTGCAACCCCATGAGCGGCTCTCTCCTCATCATGTCATGGACTTTTCATAAGCATTCCCCAGTTTATTTTGCTTTCAAGTTAGACTCAAGTTGGGTGCTGCCAGTACAGCGGTGTACAGTACAGCGAAAAAGGCAATTTCTCATGGCCTGAGGAGACAAACTGAGTCACCTGCACCCTGACGCAAATATAGACACAAAAAAAGAGAGAGAGATACAGAAAGACAGGGATGAACACAGACTAAAGAACGAGAAGAAAGAGCATTAGAAAATTGATGTAGAGTCTTCAGCCAAGGCGGCATCTCCTCGATGTCATACCATCGCTAAAGTTATCATGCTAACATACTGTGCGAGCATGTTTATGTGCAATGTTTATCAAGTCTATCCTATTAAGGTATTTACATGCTAACATTTGCTAATCAGTACTAAACACAAAAAACAAGGGATCAGCAAAGTCATCCTCAGAGGAACATTAATATCTGTAACAAATTCCATATTTGTTAGGATATTTTGTTCATCACAACAAATGGTGATATTAGAGGAAAGATTTAGGGATCCTTCAACACCATAACAATTCAACCTCAGGAGAACATGAACGGTGGCACCAGGTTTTGTATCAATCCGTCAAGTACATGTTTATGTAGGCCTATTTGTTATACTGTAGGTTATGACATGCCAGTGGACTGCACAAAACATTAAATAAAAGTAAGTTCGCCAATGCCATTTTGATTCATCCTTTGGGCACCATGAAAGTCTGTATACTTTTTTTTCCAAGTTAACTGTTAAATGTTGGAACATATCACTGGATAAACTGAAAAAGGAACAGTGCCAGAGGAAATGTTGGAAAATCAATAGATTTTTGGAAACTTTATCCTTAGGGGACAATGAATGTCTACATCCATCTGATAGTTGTTAAGATATGTTAGCTTGCATGAAAGTGGTGGACAGACCAACAATTCTGCAATCTCTGCAACCAACTTTTAATGTTTCCCAACATATTTAGTAATAACAGGAATCAAACATGCAATCAAAAACGACTGTTGACTTTGACTGCCCTTTCAAAGAGCAGATGATATGTCTTTCCTGGCAGGATGGTGGTGCCTCAGAGGACGATGATGGTAATGGGCTGAAAAAGGATCCATGAAGAATGAGAGACATGTACCCCTATCAGTGGGACCAGGCCCTCTGTTCTCCCCTCCTGTTCAGTTGATTATAGAGGCCAGAGACCACATAGCACTGGACAGGGTTACACTCAGCAACAGGGAGGTCTCTCAGGCACTGCGTAGTCACTGGTGTTATCCGAGATGATTATGGACGGTAAACCGTAAGGTGACTCTGGTACTTTCTCTTGCTTCATACCATATGCTCCATACTTTGACCGGCTGTCAGCAGGGTTCCAGAAAAGTTGCTGTCATTC